CGAAGTTTGACTGCGTGGTAATGGACGACGAAACCTACGTCAAAGCCGACTACAAGCAGCTTCCGGGACAGGAGTTTTATACGGCAAAAGGAAGGGGAAAGGTAGCAGATGTTTTCATGCACATGAAACTGTCAAAGTTCGCAAAGAAATATCTGGTTTGGCAAGCCATCTGTACCTGTGGCTTGAAAAGCAGCATTTTCATAGCTTCCGGGACTGTCAACCAAGAAATTTACGTGAAAGAGTGTTTGAATAAACGTCTGCTGCCTTTCCTGAAGAAACACGGTTGTTCCGTACTGTTTTGGCCGGATTTGGCATCTTGCCATTACGGTAAAAAGGCCATGGAGTGGTACGCCGCCAACAACGTGCAGGTGGTTCCCAAGGACAAGAACCCTCCCAACACGCCAGAGCTCCGCCCAATTGAGAAATACTGGGCTATTGTCAAGCGGAACCTAAAGAAGACCAAAAAAACTGCTAAGGGCGAGCAGCAGTTCAAGGCAAACTGGCTTTCTGCGGCGAAGAAGGTGGACAAGGTGGCTGTACAAAATCTGATGGCAGGGGTCAAGCGTAAGGCCCGGCAATTCGGATTTGGAAAAGCGGAAGCCTAACTGAATGTTTTTCCTGAATTTTATACTAATTGAACTTGAAAAAGAAATTTAATTTGATTTTTTAAATAAACGATTTCACCGATTTACACGCGTTTTCCCTTGACCAAATTTTGACCGTATCACCCTTTAGTTTTACAAATTGATTTGAAATTATTTTTGCTTGCTTGAAGTTTTGAAAATTTCTTTGAATATTTATCTGAAGATCTACGACCTCTCTTGTGATGTTGTTTTTATGAATTTCTGTTAATTACTTTTAATTTGTTTGTAGTTCTGTTCTTAAGATCTACGAACTACCCTGAAGCTCAACAAATTTCTCAGTAGATCTCCGACCCTCTCTGAAGCTCAAAAAAAAAAATTCTATGTAGGCTCTCAGACCTGCTGTCTGGCATGCTTATTCTTATACAATACATGCTTCGTATGCTTCCTTTTGCCAGTCTCTCTTTTTCGGCTGTTTCCTTTTTACGACGATTTTGATCCTCCACATAAAAATCAGCGAAGAGCGAGCGTGACAAGACTCTCTGAATGAACTTGTCTTGTTCGCACACGTTGTCTTAGATGTCAGATGCTTGTCAAATCCAGTGTCCTTAAGAAACGTTTCGAGAAACTGAACGAAAAACTTCTTTTGAATTACGAATGGAGTGATAATTGGAAAATTCCCTGAGTGGAACCAAAATTCCCTGAATATTCCAGTTTTTTCCAGAAAAAATAAAATTCCCTGTAAATTCCCGGTTTTCCAGGTTTTTACAGGTAGTAGACACCCTGTGAGTTTTAATATAGTTCTGCAGAGGCTAAACCCTAGAATTTGATTATGATTCCAGCAAAAGAACTCTAAAGCAAATTGAAAGGTATTTCAAGGACCATTTCAGGGAATTCGGAGACTATCAAACTCTACGGCAAACTTGACTACAACCCTGACAATACGCCTAATAATCACCTACGACTGAACATCTCTTGAATGTTGACCAATCAATCAATCAATCAAAGAAAATTTTTAAGGAGAACTGCATGGATATTTGGATAATGCCATGGAAATCTTATTCTCAAAATAACTCCAAAAAATCTTTGCAGAATTGCATGCTTGTTTGAAGACAGTTTCAAGAGAATTCCTAAAAGAATTTATAAGAATTTTTAGTGAATTTCATGAGTTTCCGGGAGGGTTTGACAAGAAATTTTGAGCATATTTCTAAAGAAACTGTGAGCAATGGACCAAGAGAATTTGAAGAAATTTCCAAGCAAATACTAAAGAGCGTATCAAGAGAATTCCAAAAGATCCTATTAAGGACATTTTGAAAAGAATTCTGAGGGTAAATCCAAGGAAATTTTGAGAGCATAAATTTCCTAATTTTGAATGGCATATTCAGGGATTTCCGAGAAATATTCCAAGCGATTTCCAAAGAAAATTATTGACAATTTAAGAGTGAACTTCAAGAGTTTTCTGGAAGGAATCCATAAAAAGTGTTCTACACAGAATACCGAGACTGTTACGGTGAAAATTTCTAGGGAATATAGGAAGAATCATAAGACGATTGAAGGAAATCTTAGTTATAAAGACTTTTCGATATGATCGTAGGCATATTTGTCATTTTTATGGTGAAAATAATAATACCGGATAGAATCATAAGACTATTGAGGGGATTCGCGATTCGAAAAAAAAGTATTTCTGAAGACTTTTTGGAATGATCCTAAGCAAATCCTTGACAAATTTGCAAAGAGATCCAGGGAAGAGTTCAAAAAAAAAAAACAATTTAATAAATTCAACCATTGATACATTTTTAAGATTCCGTGCACAGAAATTCAAAGGCCAGGATTGACAAACATTCTTAAGATTCTGAGACTTTGATTGAGAACAAGTTTCAATATCCTGGTTTTAAAAAACTGTTTAAGATTATGAATCTGAAGCTTTCAGAAAAGTGTAACAGTAAGATATGTGAGAAAATCCTCTATGGACGTGCATTCAAATTGAATGATTCAATATCCCAGAAATGGAGCAATTTCCTAAAATGTGTGACAACGTTCTAAATTATCAAAAATATTCAAAATGACAAACTCTGGGACATTACTATTTTTTTAATTCGCTTGAGAAAATCGAATAGGCAAAAGGTGTAAAATCAATCATAATCACGTGGCGGTGGAGTGTTGATCGCTATTTCAACTAATTTCAACGGGTACATTGAACCCACTCCGGTAAATGTATCTGCTTTGGGTTAAGTTGAAACTGCATCACTGTTCAGTTAGTATTGGTGTAATTTACCTTCCATCTGATCGCAAGAATGATTTACTTAGCGTGAATAACCATATCGAGTCTATAGAAGCAATTCATTCACACTTTTGGAATAAAGATCATGCTATTCTGTTGGCGATTATAACATCTCTGTTGCTTGCGCCTCGTTACTCGATGGCTTCAATCTGCATGGTATGTCCCAAGTTAACTATATTACTAATCAGAACATGCGAATCTTGGATTTCACTTTGGTAAATAAAGCAACGCTCTCTCGATGCCAGATTGAAGAAGCTGTAGAACCGCTCTCTATTCTTGATGCCAATCATACCGCTTTTGAAGTAACTATTAGTCTCTCACAGCCTACTGAATTTCAGAGTTTCCGTGACGAACCTGGACTTCACTTTCACCGCGCTGATTTTGAAGGATTACTTGAAGCGCTTCGCCACACTGACTGGCACATCCTTGAATCCGCTGAAGATATTGACATTGCTGTAGAGTACTTCACCAGTGTGTTGAAGAGTTACTTGGTTGATTTAGTTCCACTACGCAGGCCATCTTCGAAACCACCTTGGGGACATACACAATTACGACGACTCACGTCTAAGCTCCAAAGCACTCCGAACATACTGCCAGTCTCGTTGTCCTTTTACCAACAATTATCGCACGTATAACCGTATCTGTACAAATGCTACTGCAAACGAACTCAGGAAAATCTACGTAGACATCTACGATATTTTTGGAAATTTTCCAACTCTAAACGGAAGGAGAATGGGTTACCCGTTGAGATTTTTCTACCAGAGATTCTGATTCAATAAAAAATCATAAGTTGGCCATGAGACCCCTGAACTGAGTCACAGGGCCGGCAGACTACTGGGTAATTCGGAGGGGCACGTAGAAACTGTACAATTTCTTAGATTCGGGAAGGATCCTCTTCGACGGTTATGGCTCTATGCCCGAGGTAACACTGTTGAACAGTCTTTGATAGGTTACCAGAGAAGAAGTCCTTGACTGTTAGGCTTAAAGCAGTTCCCCGATTAAAGCCCACTCGTGTGGAAGTGAGGATTGAGCACAAAGGCACAAAAGTACAGAAGTATAAAAGGTATTGGACGAATTGGTATACAGCCCTTTTCAGCTTAGTTTTCCCATTCGTTAATGTGGTGATTACATCTGTGTGGATTTGGTAGCGCTAGTGTACTAGCACTGTGCAAAAAAGAGGACAGCATGATGTAAACAGGGAATCAGCGTCTACCAGCATGAGATTTCAGGAGCAACTGAAATTCGTCCTAGTTGGCTAGTACACTAGCGCTTGCAAATCCACACAGATGTAAACACCCCATAAAACAGCAAACTGAGAAAAACGCTATCATAGATTTTGTTTCTCCGTGGACTCTTATGGATGGGACAACATAGTTTTGGTATTTTTCGCGACATTTTCTGAACAAACTTTTCGTGTACATTGTACAGTGATAGTACTTGACAATCGATTTCAGTTTATAACTCATTTTTGCCACAAATGCTAATGGGACTGTTATACCGCACAGGGCAGTATAGTGGATGTCCAAATTGGCACGCTGTTCTAGGCACTACAATAGATTTGCCTCTATCCAACTTCCAAATTTATCACTCACTTGTGTCTCACACGAACGCCGTTTGTGAAGTCATCATGGCGATCTCCTAATAGCCTTTACGTCCCGCCTATTCCAATATCCAATCCATTCCTTACTGCATTTTTTCTCGGTGTCAACCATCACCACCCATCTGTACTCGATCCTCCTCTTTCCATTTTCCTAGTACAGTGGATTTTTCGATACCTTGCCCGTTCAAATTTTACAATAATTACAACTCTTTCTGAAAACTACTACATTACATTTTTGGATTACAGAACAAACAGTTGGAGGCCTATTCTGCCCCGCGAGTGAAGTGAGCCGACTTGCCAACCACCACAACCCCTCCCCCTAAGATGTGGTGCCTACATGGTTGTTGAACAGTCTCTGTTGTCAGGTTTTCAAACAATCTGAGAATAAATTAATCGGAATTTATTCAAGTGAAATGATTACACCAAACGAAAAAGTCATGACTTCAGTACTTGACATTTTAATAAATGAACCATGCCAGTACCTATTTGCTTTAATATGAGATTCAACGGATCAAAAATATGTTATGTTCATACCAACCTTTTTTTCGGTACCACTCAAATATCCCGAACGTACTGGACCATCAAAACTATCCACTTAATTCTTCAAATATTCTTTTCTCCTCATCTACAGTGCACCTTCTGCCATACCAGCAAACCATTCACCGTGTGTAAATATTCGTGGAACCGACAACGGCCACCATTTAGATCATTGCTAATATTCCCTGTGTATCAAACGCTCGTTGGCAACACTTGCTCACGCTTTCGAAAGATACACAACTATGTTGTGAAGAACGTGATGATGCTGATGATGATGATGGTACACAAACGCATAAACACTCCTGCTGCCGATGCTTTCGCTTGATGCGCTCTCACCGACTGACTGACCGACCGACCGCGGATCACACCAACACATGAAGCAGCATAAAACGGGATCTCGCGAGAATGCTTCTCAACGAATACACACGGCGGCACTCTTGTTGATGCTGCTGCTTCCTACGTACCAGGGAGAACACGGCTTACAACAGCATAAGCATAACACACTACGACGACCAACGACCGACGACGAACGAACGGTGGAACAGAAAAAAAATTAAGGTGATGTGGTGAGCGACTTTCTGCTTCTTCCTTTCCTGTGCTTATTCTTCCCAACAACGGCTATACGACTACTTCGGGATATAATGGTTTTCAATGGTCGTCGTCTGAGGCCGACAACATAGTAGAAGCGATTCGAAGCGATTCGATGCGATAGCAATTGGCAAAGCGAAATGCAGCGGCAAGCGAAGCAACCTATGACATAGTGAAAGCGTTTTTGAAAACATTACAGTCGCGCGCGCAGTGCAAAATTTTCCGAATCGATTTCGGTGTCCATTTTTCCTCACTAGAATCAGTCCACTTGCGTTCGAAGGCGTCAAAACACAACACGAACAGCTCTGTCGCTTTGCTGAACGCTTTACAGCTCTTCGCATCGCTTTCACTATGGCTGGTTTGGGCGATTCCCATAGAACGCTCATAGAGGGTGCTTTCACGCAAGCGCTCCGCTTATTGCCAACGAATCGAATCGCTTCGAATCGCTTCTACTATGTTGTCGGCCTGAGACTGGGACCGACCAAACAAAGGGCACACTTTTCGGTTCAATTTTTCCGTCACTACCGAGCGCGAAACGACGCTATTTCTAGCGAAAGTGCGAAACCGTACACACCGGAACAACTTTTCGATACACCTGGTCGCGAAAGTGACACTTTTGGGCGAGATTTTCCGACTTGAAATTCACAGCACGGCGGAGCAACGAAAATCGCGACCGTCAGCTCTGGCTAGTGGCTGGTTTTAGTGTTCCTCTGTGTCTGTCCTGTCTGCTGTTGGTTTGGTTCGGTTCATGGTTCCTTGCATATGTGCCTCTCACTCACGTACACCAAGCGAGCACTGCGATGCTCTCGTTGGGCACTCACTCTCTCGTTTACCTTATGCTCAGTGACACAGTGGTGCCAGAGGGATAATCAGGACTGGTGGTCGTTTTGGGTCATGACGAAGTTTGAGCCAAAATGACATTCCAAAGTGGTACCCTGTGAATGGATGGGAATGCTTTTGAATCTCATTTTGATGGCGCCAGTGGTGCAATGGTAAGCGTGGCTGCTTTCTCACTCCAGTGTGTCTGGGCTCAATCCCAGCCGAGGTAAAGTCCTTCAAGTAAAAGTATGGACGTCGTTCCAATCGAACCGTCAAAATGCATTGCTTTCTTGCTTATGTATCCTGCACACCCCTAGTGGTCATAGGGCCAACGTGACCTGAGCCCAGGTCAGAATCATGAGCCCCTGGGTCAGCCTCTGCTGCGATGTCATGCCAGGTTCCAATCCAGCGCTTGCTTGAAGATGTCGTTTCCGCCCCTTCGTAGTGTGTGGCCTACTCACCTTCCATTTACGTTCTCGAATTTCTGTTGGTATCGGTTTCTGATGACATCGACGACGGAGTTCAGCATTCAAGTTCTGAGGCCACCAGGCTTGAATTATATACCACAGGCATCGGTTGATGAATACCTGTAGCTTTTAAGTGTTCTCCGCTGATGCACACCACGTCTCGCTGGGGTATGAGGGCGTTCGCAATACTGTTGTATTTTATTTATATGGACTATTTCAATTTGAAACTAGAACAGAAACGCACCCCTCGCAATGTTGAGTTGCAGTTTCATTATTCAAGCTTTTATTTGCACCAGATTTTAAACTGATAGACCATGCAGTTTTATTTCTGAAAAACTAGTGCTCAGCAGCACACGGGCCCCGTTATCTCAACGTCCATCGTTCGGTTCCAGTCTGGTCCGTTTTATTATTTTTGTCACATTATTTTACATAAGACAAATCAATGAAATTCATACCGATTTCTTTAGGCTAAAATTCATAAGTGGTTCTTAAGGAATTCTTAAGTTCTTTTGCTGCAGTGTATGATATCCATGATCTTCAGTCATTTAGATATTTTTTAAAACTTCGGGTTGATCAGGTATCATTCTGAAAATATACAATTATTCAACAATTGAAATGACATATTCTCTCATGATACCAGGTGACTCAGAAAATATTCCAAAGGCCTTCAGTTGATCAGAGATCTCCAAAAACTTCTCAGTATGTTCTCATGTCTTCAGGTTGATTTCGTTTAATTCTGAAGATCTTCAATGCCCAACAATTTAAATCACGTCCCTCAGATATTCTTCCACGATACCAGGTTGCTCAGAAATTGTTTCAAAGACCATCAGGTGATCAGTGATCTCCAAAATTAATCATACTTTCTTTACATGTTTCGACAGCAGAATCGTCCGGAACCTCTTCTGGAGGTTCGAACTCGTTACCTGATACTGGATTTCAAATCAGCGAAGCAAACCAAATTTGCACACGCACACATATGTAGGGATGACTACCACGCACCGTTTAAAACTGTGCGTTGCGCTGATCATGTTGCAGCTTTATCTTGACAGTTTCAAATTTTAGAATTCAAGACCAACCAAATGACCTCAACTCCATTTTGTAAACAAACCTTGTAAGGCCATTTTCTCGCGAACCGAAACCTACATTTGCAAACCTAAACCAGGGGGAGAATTCCCCCTACCTGTTCATTTTGTTGTTTTGCCGTGACGGACTTCGGTTCGCGAGAAAATGGCCTTCCCGCATAAGCGCGAACCATAAATTTACCTTACCTAAAATGGTTAAAATTGTTTATAATCCCTGATAAACTTCAACTGAAATGGTTATGGAACTTTACATGAACGTTTATTGATAAAGTTTTAACCTTAAGTATTATAGTTTTTTTGGAAGTGGACCTTACAAATAATGGGTTGTTAAGAACCATTACCATTCAAAATTCTTGTTTTCTCCATACATTTTCGGAAAGAAAACTATACTAAAACCTTTTAACTTATGGTTTGAGAACATTAATGGTAATGGTTATGGTAACCAGTAAGGTCCATGAATGGTTTTGTAACATCGATCAACTTTGTGTGGAATATATCGCGAATTGGTTGCCTGTAAATTACTGATTACCAATTCACGATATATTTCACGTAAAGTTTTATTTTTTTTTTTATCTCGTTCGTTTATTTGGAAGGCTCAATCGCGTTAGCTTTACGGAGCCGATAATTCATTGTTCACTGTGTGTAACAAAATTCACTTAATTCTATGTCTAGTAGGAGTTGGGCCGATTACTCGCGGCTTACTCGAGGTTAGAAGGGTACATTTTCGAAGGATAGGATCAGGGGAGGAGCTTGGGGTAGGGTTTTGTTGTCTCATCAGAGCGTTGTCGCCAGTATGAACGGTAGTGCTGTTCTAGCTTCGTCCGGAGTTCGACCGGCTATGGTGACCAGTGGGCGACGATGAGACTCATCGAGACGGGGGGACAAGACAAACAAAAACTAATAAAGAGAGACAAAAGACAAAAGGAATTAAATTCTTATACTAGACATTTGAAGAAAAACATAAACGGACTGCATATAGCAGAGATCACGGGTTGCCAACACGTCTCTGATAGGAACATAGGGTTGTCTTCCTTGGGCCTCGAGGGTATTCAAAAGTCGCTCTCTGGCGGCGTCATTATCCGTACATTGCCAAACTGCGTGTTCGATGTCATCGTAACCGTTTCCACACCGACAGATGTTGCTGTCCACGAGGTTTATTCTATTGAGATGAGCATCTAGCGAGTAGTGGTTGGACATAAGTCTACTCATCACGCGAATGAAGTCACGACTTAAGCCCAAGCCTTTAAACCACGCTCTCGAAGAAACATTAGGAATAATTGAATGTAACCACCGTCCAAGATTTCCAGTGTCCCAATCGGTTTGCCAACTCGAAAAGGTACTCTGACGCACTAAATGGTAAAATTCATCGTGTGAAATTTGCCTGTCATACAATTCGCCTTCCTGCGCGCCCACCTTTGCGAGAGAGTCCGCCTTCTCATTGCCTGGGATTGAGCAATGTGAGGGGACCCATACAAAGGTAATCATATATGATCTTTCGACCAGCACACACATCTGCTCCCTTACCTTTGAAAGGAAATAAGATGAGTGCCTACCTTGTTTCATCGACCGAATAGCCTCAATCGAACTGAGACTATCCGTGAAGATGAAGTAATGGTCTGCGGGCATGTTGGAAATCATCCCCAATGCGAAGTTGATTGCTGCCAGCTCAGCAACAAAAACGGAACAAGGTTCCTGAAGTTTGCGGAAGGCGCTAGAGTTTTCATTGAAGACACCGAAGCCAGTGGATCCATTGAGACGGGACCCGTCTGTAAAATATCTTTTCATGCAATTGACTTGTTGGTACTTTTCAGTAAAAATACGCGGAATAATAATAGGTCGAAGTTGATCGGGAATCCCATGAGTTGCTTGTTGCGAGTTGATCCCATGAGTTGCGAGTCCCATGAGTTGCGAGAGAAAGCAGAAAGAGCCGTACTCTAGAACAGAGAGAATAGTTGTTTTATAAAGCGTTATGAGGTCTCCCGGATGAGCACCCCACCATGTGCCGCAAATTGAACGGAGAAAGTTGATCCTCTGCTGACATTTTTACTTCAAATACGTAATATGGGCATTCCAAGTGCACTTTGAATCAAACCAGACCCCAAGGTACTTGAAGGACAATGATTGGGTAATGTTTCTGCCCAAAACATTAAGCTGCATTTGGGCTGGGTACCGCTTTCGAGTAAACACTACCAGTTCAGTTTTCTGCGGCGAGAATTCGATCCCTAGATTCATAGCCCAAGAAGACAAGTTATCTAAGGAATTTTGCAATGGTCCTTGCAAGTCCACGGCATGTGGACCTCTAACGGAAACCACACCGTCATCTGCAAGTTGTCTTAGCGTGCATTGTTCTGCCAAACAGTTGTGGATATCTTTGACATAAAAGTTATAAAGAAGAGGGCTGAGACATGAGCCTTGGGGCAGGCCCATGTAACTAATTCTGGAAGTTGTCAGTTGTCCAAGAGAAAAGTTCATTTGCTTTTCTGACAACAAATTGTACAAGAAATTATTTAAAATTCCAGAAAGTCCACATCTGTGCAGATTGTCTGACAGAATTTCAATGGAAACTGAATCAAAAGCCCCCTTAATGTCCAAGAATACTGAAGCCAATTGCTCCTTGTGCGCAAAGGCCAGTTGAATATCTGTGGAAAGCAGCGCTAGACAATCGTTTGTTCCTTTGCTCTTGCGGAACCCAAACTGTGTATTTGATAGCAAGTTATTTGATTCGACCCAGTGATCGAGTCTCCGAAGGATCATTTTCTCCAACAATTTCCTAATGCACGAAAGCATAGCAATCGGACGGTATGAGTTATGGTCAGACGCTGATTTGCCAGGTTTTTTAATGGCTATTACTTTGACCTGTCTCCATTCAGGCGGTACAATGTTGTTTTCTAGCAAGGAATTGAATAAATCTAGCAAGCGTCTTTTAGCGATATCTGGGAGATTTTTCAGAAGATTGAATTTAATCATATCGCTTCCCGGTGAGGAGTTGTTCGATGAAAGAAGAGCCATAGAGAAATCCAGCATTGAGAATGGTCTATCCAGAGAGCCGCCGCTAGGAGACGCTTCTCGAAGAATATTTTGTGCTGGAACTGAGTCCGGACAGACCTTTTTAGCGAAATCGAATATCCATCGGTTGGAGTATTCTTCACTCTCATTGAAAGATGAGCGGTTACGCATGTTGCGAGCCACCCTCCACAAGGTGTTCATTGAGGTTTCTCGTGAGAGTCCCTCGACGAAATTGCGCCAATAACCGCGTTTTTTTGCTTTGATTAATTGTTTCAGCTTTGTCTCAAGCTTTGAATATTCCTCGAAGTAAGTGGAGGTTTTGTGTCTA